AGCAACTTTTGAACTTCCTTCTTGCGTGTCAGTGCTTTGAAATCACGAATCTTCTCTATCTTCTTAGGATCAATCTCGACTCATCTCTCATGCACCATGAATCCTAAGAACCTCACCGCCGACACACCAAAAGCACATTTAAGTGGGTTCATCTTCAAACCAGACCGGCGCATCCTTTCAAAAGCTAACCTCAAATCGGCTATATGTCCCTCCATACCATTCGATTTGACAACAATATCATCAATATAGATTTCTAAGATAATACCTAACAAATCATGGAAGATCAAATTCATTGCCCTTTGATATGTTGCACCGACGTTCTTCGATCCAAAAGTCATGACAACCCACTCAAGCAAACCAACAAATCCTGGGCACCTAAAAGCCGTCTTGTACATATCCTCCTCCGCCATAAAGATTTGATTGTAGCCGGCATTACCATCCAAAAAGCTAATCACCTTATGACCCGAGACACCATTGATCATCATGTCGGCTATAGGCATAGGATATTCATCTTTGGGAGTAGCTTTATTTAAATCTCTAAAGTCTTTGCAAACTCTAATCTTACAACTCCCCTTTTTCTCCACCGGGACTATGCTAGAAACCCATTCCGCATAACAACGTGGCCTAATAAACCCATCCTTCAACAACCGATCAATCTCCTCTTTGACTCGGTCATATAGCAAAGGATTAAAACGACGAGGTGGTTGTTTATAAGGCCTAAAACCTGGTTTGATTGGAAGCCGATGCTCAACAAGCTCACGGCTAAGACCCGGGATCTCATGATACTCCCATGCAAAGCAATCCACATACTCCTTAAGTAGCTCGATTATTTTAACCTTATAATCGGCTCTCAAATTTTTATTTATAAATGTCGGCCTTGGCTTAATTCCATCACCTATGTCTACTTCCTCCAATGGATTGGCCGATGTAAACCCTTTACCAAGCTTCTCCACTTCATCAAAATCTTCAATAGTTTCACCAATATCGTTCTTTGTAGACCGATATTCTTGCACCCTCTTTTGCAACAACTCTAAATTAGCTTCTTTACTCATTATACAAATTGATATGGCCTAGCCGTGCTATACAAGCCGGCTTTACAGAGATGCAAGAATAGCTAGAGAGATCCATCCCCGACAAGCATTGAATATTCCCATGACGCCACTCAAAAGTAGCATCGGTCATTGCAACCTCGGCCGATGTATCCGCTTGAACAATCTCAACATCATTGTCGTCTCATTGAATTAAACATTGATGCAAGGTAGAAGGAACACAACAATTGGCATGGATCCAACAACGACCCAAAATAACATTGTAGTTACCTTTCACATCAACAATGAAGAAAGCGGTTGGTAGCGTCTTGTTTCCCACGGTAAACTCCGCCGAAAAGATACCCTTCGCCTCCGTTGGTTCACCATTGAAGCCATTGAGAATCATGTTAGTCTTCTTCAACTCATCATCTTCACGCCCCAACTTTTTGAACAACGAGTACGGCATCAAATTCACGGCGGCACCTCCATCCACTAGCATCCTAGAGACCTGCTTCCCATCAACATGACCTTTGAGATAGAGAGGCTTCATGTGACGGTTTGATTTATCGGGCTTCTCAAAAACCGCATCTTTAGGACTTAGTCAAAATTGAGCAACTTCGGCTTCATCCATAGCACAAAACTCCATAGGCAACATACACACCATGTTGACATCCATGTCTTCCTTTGGAGTTGATTCATCTTTAGGAACCGATTGTTCCTCCTTTTCCTCTACAACAACTGGTTATTCTTTCTCTACGGATTTACACCTCCATACCGGTGGTGGTCACAACTCATTGAACCTCCTATCTCTTTGTTCTTCGGCCTTTTTCTCTCTTATCTCTTGGGCCCGAAGACGTTGCAATCTTCTCCTTTGAGTAGCCATCAAATCCTTAGGCATCCACCTAGGTTTCGGCTCTGTTCTAGGAGGTAAATAGTGCCCCCTGTTGAGTCTATTTGAAGACGATGAAGCCCTCACACTACTGCTTGCAAACCTCCTGTCAAACCGGCGCTGGATCCCGGTCAGACTGGACTTAGACCACCGGTCAGATCGGCCAAAGGCACCGGTCAGACCGGCCAGATGCGCCGGTCCGACCGATATTAGGTCGGCGGTCAGACCGGCCTGAGGCGCCAGTCAGACCGTCGTTGGGTCGGCGGTCAGACCGGCCGTATGTCTACGGCCAGACCGGCTAGAGGGCCTGGTCAGACCGGCCGACTATGATAAGCTGGTCTCGGCTTCGGATTTGTTGCTTGAGGACTCCCCAACTTCATCTCCAGAAGGTATTGGCACATCATGAGACCCCACTTTGATGGTAATCACCTTAACACGCTTTCCTTCCCTCTTTTCTTCCTTAACCCGATTTTTACCATAAAACCGGCCATTGTTTGGTGAAGACAAACGCTCATGAATTGGCCTCCTTGGTCCTCCCCACCCTTGGTTGAATTGCATTGGAGGCATATGATTGAACATTGGCGGTGTTGTCCCCCATGGCATGTAGTAAGGATAAGGATAACCCGGCGGCGGCATTGGGTAAGGCCCCCATGACATGTCAAGTGAATGATGATATGGAGGTGATTGCGACCGTCTTGATGAGTGACCAAATCGCTCCCTAGGAGGTAATCTTGGTCTTTTCCCTTTATTGCGAGCTCTCTCACCACCTTGCTTCTCATACTTCTCCAAAAGCATATCGAAGGTCACCTTAGTCTTCTTAGGAGCTTTAGAAGTTGAGACTTCGCTCCTATTCTCTTTCCACACACCAAAGACTGGATTCTTTGGCACCATCATCTTTGGCCTAGTTCACCAATGATCACTCATTTTCCCTTAGTAGATTCGGCTTGCTCCGGCCGAATCAACACCTTCTTATCATTGAAATTAATTGTATTCACCAGAAAAGGATCATGATTAAGCTTCATCTTGGAACCATCGGTGAACTTCAATCGTCCTTCATCTATGGCCGATTGAACCTATCATCGAAACACATTGCAATCATTAGTAGAATGAGAGTGAGAATCATGCCATTTACAATAAGCACGATGTTGGTATTTAATACGGTCACAGATAAAATCCGCAAGCGCACGGATATACCAATGTAGCACTTCCCCTACGGAGTATTCCAAGGGTATCGAATCCAAGGGAACGTGTGTGGTCAAATCTTCCTCCAGTTCATCCAAGGATACCAAGCAAAAGATAGGTTAGGATAGAGAGGATTTACTAGTGAGAAGGAGAAACAGTATCTAGGGAAAGCTTAACTTTAATCCTAATGCAATACTTCAGGCACTGGCAACCCGCTGTTCCCAGATGTCACTCTACTACGTATCCAGACAGGGAGGACTTAAGTGATCTCGAGGGCTGTCACCACCTCTACACCCACCTAAAACGTACTGTGGGATACACAGCAATTACGGGATAACAATTACCTAAACACCACGTCTAAGCAATTAATATTTACTTCAGTGTTTATAACTCACCAAAGCAATCACTATATTTTAGTTGATTATAGTGAACAATAATCACGTATGCTATTTAGGAATTAACCAAGAGATAATTCTCACAAGATAAATCTAAATTACTCAAGAAGAATATTATATTAAATTCAGAGTAATAAATAGAATAAAAGAAATAGGAGAAAATTACCGACAACTCCGGAATTCTTCTGACTCCTTTTACTCTACTCTCTTCCTATTCTAGTATACAATATAGTACAATAGAGCCTCTTATAATTTATCTCAAGCTTGGAAGTGTATGTTGAAGTGAGTGAGATGATGTCCTTATATAGGGGTAGGTATGACGGTTGGCGAAGGGAAAATGTCCGAAGTGCCCTCCAACCGTCATCAGGGATGTATCTGGGACGTCCACGCCAAACCCCACATCCAACGGTGGAGGTGGTGGTTCGGCCGAACCTGGCTAGGCCTATCTAGCCTGGCCTTTAGCCCTTGTTCTCCCCTGGTCCTCCTCTATTCATTCTTCGGTATTTTGGGTTGATTCACTGATGTTTTCATGAAATTCACAACCCATCCTTGTATGGATACATAATTCTCCTCACTTTAGTCTAGATTTCCTCCAACATCAGGGCTTATCTTCTGCATACAAATATACACCAACACTTGTGGAATATGTGAGATTGAGCACCTATCACTATGTTAGATGTTTTATTATCCGAACTTTATGCAGATGTTGGCGGTACGAAATCGCAATTTAACAACTGTCAACACTCGACGCTTCAATTCTTCTTGAGATGGTATGATATGGTCTTTAGGTAATCTAATTTGTTTTTCTTGCAAAAGATAATCAAAGATCTTATCACACTTGGCCACATCAAAACTATACTTAACCTCACTTTGCGGATTTTTACGAGGAGTCTGCATTAAATTAGAGCAAGCAGAAGGCTTATTTTTGTTAGTCCATGACCACTCAGCAACATACATATCATGATCACCCTCACCTTCACTATCACTAGCCTCAGAGTAATCAATTGAATTAACATTAGGCTTCTTCTCATATAGTCAGGTTTCGATTTTTCTGGTTTTTTGAGTTTTTTTCTGGCACTTCCGTTGTTTGCCGCGTGGCTTGTTTTTTATGTTGTAATTTATTTTTTCTAGTGTGACCGGCTGGTTCCCAGCTTAATTTTTGTATCCGGTATATGACTTTGATAGCCGAAGTTTTCAGCGTGGATTAGTACGTATACGTGCCTGTCATAGTACTTTTTCTCTTTCCGTTTGATTTTGGCAGACGGTTCGTTCTTATCCTGTTTTCTAGCTGTTCACATTAGCTATTTGTGCATGCTTTGTGCTTGCAAGCGTACTGCGCATGCTGCCATGCGGCCACAAACTGTAGTCCACGCGCTAGCTGCTGGCTTTGCTTGTGCCTACATGTGCTGTGCACGTGCTGCCCCCATGCCATTTATATTATATTGTTTTCACTTGATAATTACCATATATACAATTAATTTGATGCTACATGCCTACATACGATATAATTATAATTATGGAGGGGAGGGCACCATATTGTTCATAATGGTTCATTTATGCCAACCATTTCACTTTTTTTCCTTGGTTTCTCATTTTTTGCAACTATTTAAGCTTGACCCTCCCATTGGCTCTTTATAGTTGCAAATTACATCTCCTACACCAATTTTTTTTCCTGTATGTTCTTCCGCATGTGCTAGCTAGCTTAGTAGCTTGAGCTCCATCGGTTTTGGTTGGTGTTTTTTGTTTCTAGATTTCCTTTGTGGCTTGCTCTGCTAATTCTTCATGGCTGAAACTGATGGTTACTTTGTCCGTTGCAGGTTGAGCTCCTGCTTCAGCTTGCCTCATGCCAGCATGCGCATGGTGCGGTCTGCTGCTCATGTGTTCTCTTCTTTCCAACATTTATCCTACTCGTTGCTCCTTAAGTACGTCTGGTCTTTTTCCTCTCGCTTTATTGGCTTTTTTTTTTGCTATTCAAGCCTAACCCTCTCGTTGTTTTCCCATATATCCTTCACATCAATATATCTTCTTCCTTAATTTCTTCAGTGCTATGTATTAACTGGCTACTCGAGTTCTTTCCTATGTTGCCGCCGCCATATTTCTTGTTTGGTTGCATTGGTGTCTTATGTTTTGTTGTGCTCAACGTGAGAAATGCGATGGCAGGGTACGTACTGGGGCAGCGTGATGCCCGTGACTCAGCACTTAGGCAGTGAAGGGGATGGAGCGCAGGTGCAGTACGAGGCGACGCTGGCGTACTCGGGTGCAGTCGCGGGGGTGACGATCGAGGAACTAGCTGGCCGGACATCGTCATGGTCTTCGGTCTCCTACGTGCTCGACCTGGGGTTCGTCCACCCACACCACGCTGCCCATGCTTGCCTTCTATGGGAGCGGCGAGCGCCATGCCTACCTTGCCCCCTGCAGAACATCATCGCCACAGCCGCACGGCCACACCTACCACCGCACACTCGTGGCCTCTATATATCGCTCACAGCTTCGCTGACAACATCGATCTGCATCTCATGTATGAGTGGATGTGTGCCATGCTGCCATAGCACCAAGGAGGTTTCTGCGACCGCATTTGAGGATTTAAATGAAGCACATTCTAGAAGGCCAGAACAAGGTAAGGTGGGTGAGTTGGGTCACGTCCCAGGATCGGAGGACCAGGGACGCGAAGCGTGAGTGGCAGGGCGCCGACGTCGAGGTCTCCAACAGTACGGTATTGCTCCAATGAGCAGTTGGGACCTTGGGAGCTGGGGTTATTGCCGCGAGGATGGTGCTTCTCTTTGTGTTGACTGTTGACAACGACTAGCCATCGGATTTGGATTCTGGAGGTAGTCTTTAGCATTTTCAAATTTTCCGATTGTACCTAAGTATCTCTATGTAATTGGGAGTGTGCCAACGTCATATACAGTTGAGCACTAAACCTAACTTTACACTTATATACTTTTTGTTCAATTGTTATATGGCATTGTATACAAATGTTTAATTAGGATATATATATATATGGCATTTAGTAGTGATCTTTGCGAGTTAAACGAGTTTTGCTATTTGATTTACACGGTTAATCCTTCCTGTCTTGATGTATGGAGCTGCTGCACAAGAAATGGCATACAGATGTTTCTCTATCATTTATGATTTGTCTATTAATGTACTTAGTATTTGATGTCGGATGAATTGCGCTTTTCTTTAATATCGGGATATTACTATTTTTGTCCACGTGTTCAACTTTGATATATATCTTCTCGGTATTATATATTTGTACTTGTGTGTGATGTTTGTTGAGCAACAATATTGGTTTATTTTTTTTATGTATTCCATAAGAAGGTTTGATATATGGACGTAGAGGTACGGTTCTTCTAGCTAAAAATGGCACTGGAGACACACACATTCTGACATTTAGTCAAGTGCCTTCTCCAACACAAAAATGTGAAATTTGTAGTCGTAGCACAGACAAACCTGCTCAAGTCGTTGTGTATGTGACCATGTGTGATTTAACAGCATATTCAGTCACTATATAAAAAACAAAATGATGCACGACAGCTACCGCGCGGCGTAACCGCCGCGCTTACCCGTCTAGTTTTCTTCAGTGCAAGTCAATTTGGCATATCTGAATTGTTTATGAGCCATCACACATATACAAAATTACCGACTAGTGCAAAATCTGGTGATGGCTGATGAGCTGTAGCTCCTCCATAAAAAATACCACCTGTATATTGCTTACATATGGTACGAGTGTACTGAGCAAAAGAGTATAAATATGTAATAAGAATTAATCAACTATTTTAGTAAGTCTAAATTTGCATAAACCTAAAAAAAATTGTATATTAACTATCATCTGTATCATCATCACTTTCTGTGTTATTGTCGTCATCTGTATCCATATACTCAGTGCCATCACTTTCAGAATCTTCTTCAACTTTATCAGATTCTTCTTCCTCTTCTTCATCATTTTGTTCTTCAGAATGCGTTATCGGATCTGGTTTGACAGTTTCACTCTCAACTCCATTTCTGTCCAAAACCATAACATTATCATCATTGATTCTACTTTCATTCAGTGCCACTGTGATATCTTCATTCTCTTGGCATGCTTCAGAAGTAGACTTTTTATTTATTTTTATTTTTTTTTGGAATAAGGCGACTGCCCAGCTTTTATAACAAAGCATAAGAGTTCATACAATGCTGGGATTACCAGCTTAAGAGCTTAAACATACAGAAATTCGACTAAAGGACTAGTGCTGCTGGCATAGCGGGAACAAGCTAGAGATGAAAACAACACGAGCTGTAAGTCCAAAAGTAAAGACAGTGCAAAAGAACGAAGAGATTCTGCTTGGATCAGGTTGATGGCATCATCTGCTTGAATCTCCTGTCGCGCGGATACTGGCAAGCAACAATCCTTGCACTTTCTCCATCTCTCCCCTTAACTTCATGGGCGCCAAACTTTTCCACTGTACAAGAAATGACAAAGCTTTGTGAGGCTGAGAAACAGCATTTCTCAGCAGACGGTTATTGAAAACCCAGTCGTTTCGAACAAGCCAAATTGCCCAAGCCCCTGCAATAAAGCAACACCACAAAGTTTTGCTATCTAACCCCCTCTGATTTTGAATTAGGTATAAAAGATCATTTCTAGAAGTGGGGATCGCCTCCGAACCGAAAGCATCTATGTAACAGCACCAAAGGAATTGGGCTGGGGGGCATTTGAACATTAAGTGGTCTGTATCCTCTTCCTCCCCACAAAGCTTACAGAAGTAGACTTTTTTGTTAACGATGGATCATTTTCTTCTTCTTCTGTAGGAGGAAAGTCGTACAAATCACATGGCTTTGTCTTCACCACGACAAGCCATTTAGGATCTCGAGTATCTTTGACATAATATATCTGCTCAGCTTGTGTGGCCAAAATATATGGATCATCAATTCGCAAGGTGCAAGATGTATTTATCAAGGTAAATCTGTACTTGTCCTGTTTTACTCCCCTTCATTGAGCGTGTACATCCCACCATTCACATTTGAGCATTACAACACAGAAAGTACCATATGTGAGCTTGATAATATCTGACAAGACACCGAAATAATCTTTGCTTCCACTGGCTTCATCACCTTTAACAAACACTCCACTATTTTGTGATTGAACTAGCATGTCTCGGTCTTTGGTGTTGAATGTCCACCCGCTAATCATATAACTTGTGAAATGGTTTACTCGAGCATCAGGTCCTCTTGCTAGAGCAAATAATTGATCTGTAACAGATGGAGATCCTTTGGAATACAACTCAAATATCTGGGTAAAATTCAGGGTCAAAAAATATTTGGGTAAAATAATATAATTATTTTTAAAATTTAATGTGGAAGTAATATTGTGTGGTATATTAGAATACATTGGAAGTAATATGATGTGGTATATTAGAATACATACATGATTCTTGAACCATTGAAAAAACTCTTTGTCGTGGCGCTTATCCACACCTATATTGCTCTGGTTGCTCAGCTGGTCCTTGTGAATGCGGCAACATAATTAAATATATGTTAAATTTCAGTAATATTACCATCTTAGAAAAAAAAAAGACATTGAGTTGCATCGCTTACTTTGCATATTCTGATATTTCTTCACAGTTGTTAAGTACATATATCCGAGTGTTAACGGTCGTTATCGATCAATTTCGACTGTCAATATTACCAAAATAGAGGAAAACTAGTGATGCTTGCATGCAAAAATATGTTAGAATAATAATATTCCACTAGTAGTAGGTATACTAACATTTCTGCAGAGAATGACAATAAAGTGGAGGAGAACCGACATCAACTCAGACGATAAATCAATCGGACGATGTCAAGAACTAGACTTATGTATGAATGGGCCAAGAACTCAGAATTGACACGATGAATTGAGCCAAATTCACAAGTCCACAAAGTGAAGCAATAGAGGAGGCCGCCAGCCGAAGATGGGCCGGGAAGGCCCAGCATAAGGTTCGGCCGTACCTCTGGCACCGTTGGATGCAAGGTTCGGCGTGAACGTCCAGGATTGCATCCCAATGACGGTTGGAGGGCACTTCGGACAATTCCCCTTCCACAACCGTCATAACCACTTCTATATAAGGAACTTCACTCTCTTCACTACAACACACATCTCAAGCAATACCTCTCTCATTTTTCTCAAGTTTAGTTTAGTAGTATCTAGCTGGTGGAATAGGAATAGAGTAGAAATCAGGAGTACGGAAGCCGTCGGAAGAGTTCAGGTATGACTCTAGCAGCTTTCCTTTCCTCTTTTGTAAGCTTTGTACTTTTATTAGAATACTCTTCTAAATACATCTATGGTATTGAAATACTTTCAAAGTATATGAGTACCTACTTTACATTATGTTCATGTTATACTGAATATACGGCTAGCTTATCTGGGAGATGCTTTGGTGCGGGTATAATATTTGCTTATGCAATTACTCTATGTCATGACGATGATATTAGAGTAGTATCTGATAGTTTAGACATGGTGTCTAGATTACGGGATATCATTATTTGGGGTTATATATTGCGGATGAGAGGTGGGCCGCTGATGGTGACAGCTCAGTACGGGTATTCCTCCGCGTCGGCATAATCCTAAGTTAATTCCCTAGGGAGGGTATTCCTCCGTATTTAGCCCCGGTTGTATGGTCATGACGGGCTATCGTAAGGAACTCGGCAGTCAGGGGTGGCTTCTCGAAGTACCAGGAGGGCATCGGATAGAGGGTATTAGCTAGTATATCAGTTAACTAGAATGTGCGTATACTATGAATATTAGACGTATAGGAATATATTCTCTTTCTCTTTTCTTTCCACTTAGCTCAGATAATATATTATGAGAATGAGTAGTAATGCTTGTGTGTCACTCTACCCTTGGATTATCTTAACACCTGTTTAGAATATGATTATCACAAGTAATATATAAATTATTAGTTGAGTTCTCTCTACATGATCTTCCCACGGGATAAAATAAATACGATACCCTTGGAATACTCTCGGGTGAAATGCTACAATGGTATATATGTGCGCTTGTGGATGAACTCGTAACCATAATATACCAGGAATATTTCTGTGCCATTGCTGGGAATTATATTTCTTGTAATGTCGTTAAGAAATACCAACAAGCATTTCTGGCGCCGTTGCCGGGTATTATATTTCTAGTAATGTCGTTAAGAAATACCAACAAGCATTTCTGGCGCCATTGCCGGGGAAGATTCATAATAGAGATTACTTGAACTAATACTTTATATTTACCTCTGTATAATCATTTTCCTTTGCAGGCTAACCTTGGTTTTTTTCACTGTTTGCTGTGGAAACAGGGTAGTGCATGACTGGTTTCAACCTGCCGGAAAACTTCAAAGAAATCCAGAAGCTTTCTTCCGGAGCGTCAGGTCGCGAGTCGTTGCTCCGCGGAAAACTCTACCGACAGGGAAACCAGCCGTACTAGCGCCACCGCCTTCAAGACTATTGCCAGCAAGACTCTTCGCGAGTTCGCTGCTCCCTCTGCTGACAATGTGGCCATATGGCCACAGGTCAACATAGGGGACGTGGATTTCGACTTGAAGTCCAGCCTCATCACGATGGCGTAGGCTAGCCCGTTCTGTGGCAAGCCTAATGAGGATGCCAATGCTCATCTGCAACAGTTCCTGGAGATCTGTAGCACGTACACCATCAAGAGCGTCAGTCCCGACGCCGTCAGGTTGCGACTGTTTCCGTTCTCCCTTCTTGGGAGAGAGAAGCAGTGGTTTTATGCCAACCGTGCTGTTGTCAACAACTGGGACAAATGCTCTACGGCATTCCTCTCGAAATTCTTCCCGATGGGCAAAACGAATGTCCTTCGTGGAAGAATTTCAAGTTTCCCACAGACAAGGGACGAGTCTATTCCGGAAGCTTGGGAACGACTGCAGGAGTACGTGGCCACCTGTCCTCATCATTTGATGGACGACTGGTTGATCCTGATGAATTTTTACAATGGACTCACCCCGATGTCCCACGATCACCTGGACGCGGCAGCTGGAGGAGCCTTCTTCTCTAAAATGGTTCAAGGAGCCGTTGAACTAATAGAGAAGATGGTCTCCAATATGGGTTGGAGCGAGGAACGACTCCAGATCCGTCAACGAGGCATGCACACTGTCAAGGAGACGGAGTTACTTGCTGCCAACCTGGACCACCTCATGAAACGCTTGGACGACCACGAGAAAAGGCCACAAGGCACCGTCAAGGCTTTGGACTCACACGTTACGTGTGAGGTCTGCGGCGGCACGGGTCATTCTGGGAATGACTGCCCAAAAACCCGTGAGAAGGCGATGTACATGTGCAACAACAATGGGTACCGTCCACAAGGAGGTCAGGGGTGGAACCAACCACGCCCATATTATCAAGGAGATAACAATAACGTAACTTCTCTAACCAGCCCTCCTTGAAGGATCTCGTTTTTGCGCAAGCTAAAACCACCGATGCATTGAGCAAAAAGCTTGCGGCCAATGACAAGGTCTTATAAAACATTAATGTCAAATTAGATGGCTTTGCTTCTGCCTTTCAAAATCAGCTGAGCTTTAACAAAATGATAGAAACCCAGTTAGCTCAGTTGGCATCTTTAGTCCCTGCAAATGAAACTGGGAGGATCCCGGGGCAACCCGACTCCTCCATTGAAAATGTCAAGGCGATCACGACGAGGGGAGGTAAGTCCACTCGTGATCCGCCATATCCTAACCCTGCAAGAACTAATGGGATATCAAAAGAAGCGCCATCTAGCGACTCGGCTATCAAGGAGGTTCAGCCAAAGAAGACCGTGCCGCAGGAGTACTGCGACACACGGTTGCTGCCGTTTCCCCAACGGATGAGGAAACCGTCAGTGGATGAGCAATTCGCTCATTTTGTTGAAGTAATCCAAAAGATCCACATCAACGTGTCATTGTTGGACGCCATGCAAGTGCCAACATACGCCCGTTATCTCAAGGATATACTCAACAACAAGAGACCGCTCCCAACAACGGTGGTGGTCAAGCTGACAGAGCAATGCAGCAACCTGATATTCCACAAGCTCTCGGAAAAGAAGAAAGATCTGGGGTGTCCTACGATCACCTGCTCGATCGGGGCACAACAATTCGACCAGGCCTTGTGCGACCTTGGAGCCAGTGTCAGCGTCATGCCAAAAGACGTCTTCGACAAGCTCAACTTCATGGTGTTGGCACTGACACCGATGCGCCTTCAACTGGCTGATTCATCAGTCCGTTACCCGGCAGGGATAGCAGAGGATGCGCCAGTCAAGATACGAGATTTCTTCATCCCAGCTGATTTTGTGGTGCTAGGTATGGACACGGGGAAGGAGACGCCACTCATCCTGGGGCATCCATTCCTTAGCACCGCAGGAGCCAACATTGACGTGGGAACGGGGAGCATCCATTTCCATATCAATGGGAAGGAGGAAAAGTTTGAGTTCCAACCGAGGATGGAACAATGTTCCATGGTCAGAATAAAGTACGGGCCGAATCCGCAGAATATTCAAGTGGTCGAAGTGGAGCCACCCAAGACGGACAGCCTGGTGAAGTTCATGCAAAACTTCCTGGAGAAGGAAACAACGATTCCCAGCAACCGTTATTGGAGGACGCCGGTAAAATCACCCGTACCGGCAAAGAAGTTAGAGCAGCTGGCTCAGAAGAAGCCGTCTTCCGCACCAAAACCAAAGAAGGTATGGAAGGAAAAGCCAAAGATGCCCGCTCCATCACCTCCGGAGACGAGTGGAAAATCTGTGGACTAAATCAGAAGGAGGTACGGTCTTGCACATCGGACTTTAAACGACGTGACCTTTGCCAACAGGTAAATTGGTATGTATCCGCATATTTGCTTTCAACAATTTGAATTTTTGCATCATCACATGTTTGAATTTCAAATTTGCATTTAGGATTTTTGAATTTTGAGAAAATTCTTCAAATGAATTTTTTTAAGAGCAAACCAAAATAAAATTTTCAACGAAAATTCGCTGTGCCACGACCACATTGACCGTTGGAATCCAACGGCCGAAAGTGGGGCCGGCTGGGGCCACCAAGGGTTCGGCCGAACACCCCAGTTCGGCCGAACCGGCCAGGCAACAGCAATCAGCCGCTTTTGGCAGGGTAATGGCTAGTGGGTCCCACATGTCATTTCTGACAGTTGTGGGTACCCTATAAAAGCCAGCCGGCCGAGAGGGGGACTTCCACCCCATTTCAACACATTTTCATTCCCTCTCCAAAGTTTGCTCTCAAGTTCATTCAAGCTTTGATATTTTCCCTCAAATTCAAATACTTAGTTGCATATATACAAGTTGCTTTGGTAAAACTAACCGGCGAGTGAGATTCTTGTCACTCCTAACCCCCGCCGAGTTACTCCATTCTTGCTCCATTGTGCAGTATGAGGAGGCGACTGTCTCGTCTGTTCAAGGGGTCTAGCTCTTCATCAAGTCATCGTGAAGAGTCTAGCACTCGTTCATCAGCTGATGTCTCGATGGAAGACGCCGAAGCTCCCCGACGACTCCTGAACGACACCGACCTCAACCTTGTCAGTGATCGGGAGAGACAAGCCTACTACATGCTGAGCGACCAGGAGTATGCTCACACACGAGAATACTCACCGCAGCTGCTAAAAAAGATAGGTATGGATGTTGAATTTTGTTCTATTTAGAATGCTGTTGGTTGGCAGAGATTTGCTGTGGTAGATGAGCCTGGTTCTCGTTTGCTTACTTTGCAATTTTTTGTCACGCCCTAAAAATCGATTAAATTAAAAATGCATATTTTAAATCATTTTTAGAAATTATTTTAAAAGCCTACAAGCTAAACCCTAATTTTCTAGGAAAATTTTCAACATAAAAGTGAGCTAGATAAAATTTTATTAAATACTATGCTTGCTCCTCTATTTTCTAGAATTTTCTGGAAATTATTTGAGCAAGGGAAGTATTTTTAATAATTGAAACAACATTTCACAAATTGTTTTATTTGAAAAAGTTCAAAAATCCTCTTCTTTGGTCATTGGGCCGAATTCGGTCCAATACTCCTCTCTCTCTCCCGCGCGGCCCAAGCCGGCTCAGCTCAGCCGCCGCCGCCCGCGCCCCTCTCCTCAGCCGCCGACAGGTGGGGCCCACCTGTCGGGATCCGTCCCCTAACTCCAGCCGCCGGCCGAGCCCGAGCCCGAGCCGCCGTTTTCCGCCTCCAAATCCGCCCCAATCCGGTCCCCTCGAGTCCGATTGTTAGAGGGGTTTTGTTCCTCTCGTTCTCCTCTTTCTTTTACCCCAAGAATCAAAGAGAATCGTTGAGGATTTGATCCGAATCGAGTTCGTTTTGATTTTATCCCTAAAACCGAGTTTGAATTCTTCCCGAGTCGATTCCTCTCGTTTGGAGCTCGATCTCTTCAATCCGAGCTCATATATAGCTTCCTCTCGTCGTCCTCTTCCGTTTGCCCCATCTCCCGAGCTCTCCCGTGCATCGTAGCGCCGCCGCCGCGTGCACAAAGTTCGCCGCCGCCGCCGGCCGTCTTCGGCATCGTCGCGCCGCCGCCTCCGTCGTCGCCGCCGCTTGCCGTCGCCGCCGTTAGGTGCGCCGTGGTGAGAGGAATCTCGGCCGCCCGTTCCCCTTCGCCGTCGACCACCGGAGCCCCCTCGTCGCCGTCGACCGAGCCGCCGCCGCCATCCTCCTCGTCGCCGGCCGTCATCGGTCATCTTTTGGCACTTTGGTGAGTACCATCGGGTTCGTCTCGATGTTCTCTACGCGTAGGTGTCCTCCAAATCCCCGGCCGACCGTCCTAGCTCCGGCGAGCTCTCCAACCCGAGCCGGCCGCCATTGCCGACGTCAGCATGACGTCAGCATGACGTCATCATTAGGGCTGACGTCATCATTAGGGCTGACGTCATCAGGGCTGACGTCATCATCTCTTTTTCTTTTTCTTTTTCCCGATTTTCCAATAGATTAAAACTTCGAAAAATCATAACTAAATAACCGTAGATCCGTTTTAGGTGGTTCAAGTTTCTAAATTTTTCTAAAATCAAGATCTACATGTTAAAAATATCCACATGTACTGTTTATGCTTGTTTTTGTACTGTTTTGTTGATTTTGTTTATTTGCTTTAGTTTCCGACGTTCCGGAGGAGAGCGTTTCCATTGAGGAAGGTTCCGAAGCGTTTGTGGAAGCTCAAGGCAAGTCACACAGATCGCAAACAACCCTTTGAGCATGTTGATCCCGTTTAAAGCTATTATTTTATTTCAACTATGCATTGTTTTCGAATGTCATCGGGTGGTAAACCTTTCCCAGTTATTTAATGGCCGAAGATGACTTTATTTTCCTATGGGTTATAATTTGATTAGCATGAACCTTATATATTGGATTGGTTCAGCTAAATGCTATATATAGGTTTGCTTAGCCATGCTTAGAAACATTAGCTAATTAAAAGGGGTTAAGTATAAACTATATTACATAATTATTATTGATAATTAAGGTTATATTCAATGGTAGCTCACGATGGTAAATCGTGTGATGTTAATTAATTGATAATTAAAATCTGGTTAAGGTGGGTTGTGAGCATATGGTTTTGATGGTTGTGCTCATGACAATTAAGGACCGGTTCGCGAGCTACTGTTGTGAAACATTTATCGTGCCAACCACAAGCCAGCGTGGGCAACGGCTTTATCTTTTGTATAGCATGATTCATTATAGTGTGCCAGACTGAGAAGTGGCGAGAAGTCCATGGGGGTCGCTGGGGAGTCCATGCCTTGTTTATAAGGGGGTGATTATGATCCAGGTACGGTGCACTGTGGTGAATTGTGTTATGCGAGGGGTATTGTCACAACTCCTTTCCGAGATACCGTGGTGGTATTGAGGCACATGGTGACATGATGTGGGGTTGTGTCTTGTGGGTACAGTGGTACACCTCTGATCAGAGTTTAATCTATTCGAATAGCCGTACCCGCGGTTA